CACCCATACCCCACAAGCCCTCACACCTAAAACCTAATATACCTAGACCCTATAGACATATGAACCCCAAATCCCAAATCCTGTACGTACACATCCAGTAAACCCTGCAAGTCTCGCGAACCCTATGCGAACTACGAGCCCTGCATCGGCAACTGAAAATCAAGTTTCTCCACCTTTATAGAGAAATCCTCCAAATTCGCATAGACCGCCATATACCTGCATGTCAAGAATCATTTCCCCTGAAGCCGCTGAGAAATCCAAGGCTCCACGACGTCTTTCCCAGCTTCAAGAGCGATCCGGAGGCCGCCAAGCGGTGGCTCGCCCTGCCGGAAGCAAGGGCCCGAGCTGGGCTCCTTTAACGGGGATCTACAGGGTGCCTTTCAAATGGATCCATATGGGTACTATAAGGGTTTAGGGGTTTGATATAGTTAAGGCTAAGAGGGCGTTAGGGGTTCTTTTTGAGGACTCGCTCGATCCCTGGATATTGTGCGCTGTACCCCAGAACCCTATATTCTAGTTACCAAGGCCCCCACACGGTAATAGGACCTTCGGGTTCTGCAAAGGCTTTCGTAGGTCTTCCTCATGGCCTTTTTGTAGTTTCAGGGGAGGTTTTGTGTTTTCTTATCATCAGGCATACTAGTAGCGAGTATCTATATGCACTGAGGGTTTGGGGGGTGCAGGGTTTGTGGTGGCTGGCTGAGTAGGCCACTGAGACATTAACGTGCGTCAGGTTCGTTCAAGGTTTAAGGGCCGGTGGTGCGTTGGGTTTTCAATTTTGAAGGTTTTGGTATCTCGGCTTTCGGAGTGTTTTGGGACTTCAGAGTTGGCGGTTTGGTATTTGGGGCTTCAAGGTTTTAAAGACTTGTGCTTCAGAGTTTAGGTTTTTACCTTTCGGGCTTGGGGTTCTGAATATTTCGGGTTTCTGGGCTAGGGTCTTGTTGTTAAAAGCTAGCATCGAGAAGCCGTAGAAGCAATGTTTCTGAATTGGTTAGCTGGGACCAGCGACGAAGCTACTGGCATTTTCCAACGGAATTCAGCAAGACATGGACTCTAGTCCAGCCTTCAGGTAGTAGGATCCTGCATTTGAGGATCCCTCAACAAGCTATCTAGCCCCCCAGTGTGAGACGCCGTCACGTCGCTTCGAAAAGCTGGCAACAGCCGAAGCTTCAAGTCTCCTCTTCCTTTCAGTCCCAAAGCTATGGTTGGGGGCGTTCCTTATTAAAGTATAATAGTCTCCATAATAATCAGAAGAGGGCTTTGAGGCATATTTCTTTACTATAGTATAATATGCCCCAAAGCCCCGTAAAGGTTAAACCCTAAACCCTAAGCCCTAAGCCCTATTGTGATCAATAAGGCCCCTACAGTAATATAGAAGCTTAAATGATTACCAATACCATTTTGGGGGTCCGTAGTATAATTATGGTATAATATACCCCAACGCCCTATTCTGATCATTAAGGCCCCTACAGAAGTGGTTTCTGATGTGGAACTAGGGGCCTTAACTGGAGAGCCGTAGGCCCCGTCATTTTGGAATACACTTTCGCGCATGGTTAAGGTCCCGTCTCTCTTGTTCAGGCGTGCAACGTATCATACACGATGTATCAGTTATATAGTTGTGTTTCATGTTGTAGACAGGCAGATAGATAGATAGATAGATAGATCGGCAGACCGATACATAGATATAGGTAGATATAAGATATAGATATAGGCATAGATACTGATATAGATATAGATGGATACAGATAGATACAGATAGATAGGTAGATAGATAGCTAGATAAATAGATACAGATAGATAGATAGATGGATAGATAGATAGATAGATAGATAGACAGGTATACACAACAAATAAACGTGGAATATTTGTATGTAACTTTATACATGTATTAGGGCTCAGATCCACCTTCCGTGGAAGGATTGCTGTAGGCCCCAGTCGTGCTGTAGCACGTAGAGGCGCGCCATTCCGTGCCCTGGCAGTCCACCCTGGCATAGGCACCAGAGGGCCAAAAGGGCGAAGCTGCGACGCAGGATACACTCCCGCCGGCTCAGTGGACTCCGCATCCGCCCAGAGGACGTCTGGCAGTTGGAATCCCACCACTCTCGGCCAGTGTACCGCCGTGATATGGGCGGGAAGAGAGGTGGCAACTCGCAGCCATGGCATGGGGACATGTACTGGCGTGGGTCATGGTCGGTCTCGCCCAAATCGCAGCCTCAACCACAGCAGCCGAGATACGACCGTGTACAACTAGGCGGGAAAGGAGCCAGAGGCAAGGCGGATGGTACCCCGCCTTGGCAGGACCATGCTGGAGGCCCGGATACCCTTACGCAGACACAAGCTGTACAGCGTGCTCTTACTATAGCAAGGAAGGCCGACGCGAAGATCCGCAGGCTCAGATCCGAGGTGGATGTCCGGAAGCAACAGTGGGAGAAGTTCATTGTCGAACAGAAGCAAAACTTTGTTCGACAGAAGAGGCAATTCGGAGACGATATCTCCAAGTTGGAACTCGAGATCCAGCAAGCCACTGCAGCCGGACACGAGGCGGCCGAGAGGATGAAGGCCATAGTTCTGCAGGGTGTCGAGGTTGTGCGACAACAGGACGTGGCGATGGAGACGGAGGACGACGAGTGGGACCGCCTCATGCAGGAGGAGGAGACAACCATGGCCCCATCGGGCTTCCTACAGGAAGCCTACACTGCCGCGCAGCGACTGCAACCGGTACCGGCTATGGTTACCACCGCTACAGCAGAGGCAGGTGTTGGCCGCGTGCCACGTACCACTGGAGATGGTGGAATCATGCCCTACAACCACGCCTCGCCACTCGGTGCCTCTACGGATCCCTACTTGGCAAGCCCAACTTTTGGTGTTGCCGCTCCGGTCCATGCGGCCATGAATTACCCCGGCCCTTGCGATGCCGGAATGCTGAGTGGCGCCACACCAAGGCCTTCTATTCCCTTGGCTACTCCTCAGCGAGGAACGACAGCGATGCCGAGGACGCCACCTCCAGCCAGACCTCCCGGTCTTTCTATGGACGGAGGAGATATACCGGCCACCTCGGGAGCGACGCCGGATCCGAATACGGATGTGTCCCCGAAACCGGACACAGAGCCAGGCGGAGTTGGGCTAGCAGAGAAGCTGGCCGCCAAGAGGGAAGAGAGACGGTCAGCCCTACAGCCTTTCAGGACATTGCCGTGCGAAACCGGCACGACAGAGCGTCCCCCGATAGGGGATCCCGGGACATCGAAGGCTGCCAGGCCTCATCTCATCGAAGACGACGAGGACGATCCCCTACGAGTTGCCTCACCAGGCCTTACCAATATGGAATAGCGAATGCAGATCGGAGACCTCCTCCTTACATGGGGGCAGAAATAAGTTCTTGCTTCCTGGACAGCCCGAGGTTGATGACTGAGCCCGCTCAGTCACTCCCCAAGTTGCCGTTCGGGTTAGCTTGGAGCTGGTTTCTCTCCTCACGTGAGGTTTGGAGGATTCTGGGTTCACACTGTACAGATTTTGCTGTGCTGTACAGTTTGTCTGACGCGATCCCTGGAATGGGCCCTGTTTGGAGGCAGTGTGCTTTGGGTTCCACACTTCGCCCCTCATCCGCTTTACGTCCATTTCCACCCCTCGCGTGGTCTTCCTCGGCTCGGGATCATTGCCCGGGCCCCCGCCATGCTCACCCAGTTTTGAATGCCCTCGATGGGCCGCTTGCCTTTCTCGCGGAGCAAGCAGATGCATCACCCCTACTAGCGCCAAACATGTGTATCGGTGGCTCTGGGACACAGGCAGTAGGAGGTCTTGATGCTTTAGCCTTTGTCGAGGCCCTTCTCAGTATGTGGTTTCGTTATGGGGCCCTTAATGTTCTGTTGCCTTTCTTTAGGAGCCTGCTCGGTGTTGTGCACCTTGCATTCTGGCTGTTTTTCTGGGCCGCTTTCTTCCGCAAGCCCCGCCAATGCTCCATTCTGCACAAACGGGTGCCGGTTCATGCAGTAATTATGGCCTTCGGCAGCATAGGCTCTTACGGTGTTACGAAAACACCTATTTTAGATTGGAGGCCCCATAGCTCCAAGATAACCCCAAACCGCGTTCGAGTTCAGCCCAGACAACGATTCTGTGCGGGCGTCGGTAGGCTCTGGCTTGCCCTGTTTGGAATTTCGAACATGCCTATCTGTGTATGGGCTGCGCCGGAAGGCATTGGCGCGATCGAAAGAGCAGGAAACCTTCTTGCGGAACTGCAACCGGAGCATATACTACACGACGGTGGTCGCCTTGAGGCCAGCCCCCGCATTGAGGTTGAGGTTCCTATGTCCCTCATGGTCGCGCAGGTTCAGTCTGATGCATTATATGAGGCTACAGGTGAGGAATGCCCTATGCCAGCCATTCAGGTGTATGTTCTTTCGCCAGGCTTCCGCTCCACCTGGCTTACTATACCATGCTACCAGGCATATCCCCGTGATATCCCCACCGAGATCCGGCAACGAGTTCCTGACGCCGAGTATGGAGTGGACGTTGCCGTTCTGCAGCCCCAGCCCTTCTGCGACTTTCTCACTTGTGTGGCCTTACCGGCGTGGGTCGGCCCGTCCTTGCGCGAAGTCGTGATCTACGACTTTAGCGCGTTTAAAGGGCCGATCTTTAGCGACTATGTATGGTCCTACATGCATTTTAGTCAGCTTGAAGACATAGCGGCTGGCCATGCTGACTCACCCTGGCAGGTTTTTACCTGCACACAAGACAAGCCACTTGATGACTCAGAAGTCCTATGGGTCAACACGGGCCAAATTTTTAAGTTCGTCCCATACGGTTCCACACCTAGGTGGTTCCCCTACTCCCAGGAGCGAATCCCGACACTATGTAAGCGAGCCGAGCCCTTGCGACCCCCCGAGCCTCCGAGTACGGCTTGTTTGGGGGTTTTTGATGAATGCTGCCGCCTCTTCGAATGTCGGGAGGGAGATAATGATGCCCTACAGCAGGCTGTTGCTGAGTATAAGTTCAGGAGAATTTCTCACATGTCTTTTGGGAAGCCAGCGACAAGGCATTTTGATGATCTTCTCTACAGGGGCCGATCCACATGGGGAGTGGTTGCCGTTGCCAACAGGTCTGAAAGCATACCCCCGGGCCCAGCTTTCGGCGTCTTCGTTTTCCTAGATGCCAGACGGGCAGGTCGCGGCGTTTCCTTCCTTTTAGGCGAGGCTCCGGAGAGGGACATTCATCACCTCTACCGATACCTTGAGATCAAAGCTCCACAGGGGTTTATTCCGGTTATAGAAGGGACGCAATGCAGCGACAGCTCTGTTCCAGTTTCTGAAGGGGCTGTGCTTGTCTTCCGCATTGTAAAGGCCACTACGCGCCTCCCACCGCAGATAAACGCCCACCTAGGCGCCTCCAGTGAAGGAGACGGTGGCGGCCAGCCAAGCGACGGACCAGCTGAACGTGATGGGGCATATAGTCGGAGAGAGACATCAGACACCGACCCTGACGCCTCTGAAGGCGAGGATACAGGCTCATGTCACAGCGAGGATAGCTCGCGCAGAGGACCTCGCGAAGAAGGAATGCCCGAGCTATGGTTTGCCCTTTTTGCGCCAAGCTGCGCTGCAGAAACAATTTCCATAAAAGTTGGCTTGCCTACCACCATTGAGGAGATCGAGGGTAGGCTGCGAGCTGTCCGAAGTGATTTTCTCAGCGATTATTTCGGACGGATGATTGTTGTGCGGGCACAGCCATGTGCCGGCGTCGGGGCCCTCCTCTGCATCCCTCCTTGGCCCTTCCCCAAGATTTGCGTGCTTATAGACTGCAGAAGTATAGACGGCCGACTATTCGCACACCTTGCAGACCCGTGGACCCAGTGGAGCTCCTTCCTCGCGCAGATAGGCATATTCTGGGAGGATGCGCGAGTGGCTCGCAATGGTGTCCAGCTCATACCATTCCGGCCAGTCCAGTTGGCTACAGGGGATTTAGTCACCGTCACAATCGAACCAGAAAGGGCCCAGGAGGTCTACGACCTGGCAGTCATGCTCCAGGACAGAGATGCGTGGGATGTCGGGGCATTAGATCTGCACAGTGGAGCCTGCTCACACTTTTGGGTCCTGACTGATGGAGGCTGCAGGGGGATTACGATTGACTACCGCCAAGTTGAATGCGAGCTGGATTTTGCTGCCTTTGTGTCCAACATCCTTGGTTACCATCCTTGGAAGGTTGTAGTCAAATCCTCTAGCCCAAGAATCCTCAACGGGTGCCGCCTAGGACATGACTGTAAGGCAGTAGTCATAGCTACGGAACAACTCCCATCTGTTCCGATACCCCCCGGCAAGATCATCAAGAAACCAGTCACAGTGTTCCTTGATTTACGCCCAATCCTGCGAGGGTTTGCTTGGAGGGTATACGACAAGGGCGAATTTGAACTGGAGCCCTTTGAGCGGGAGTTCCTTTCAGAGCTCCCCGAAGAAGGGGACATTTATGTACACGGGGGTGTTGAAGACGAAAGGGATCATGCCAAATTCATACTCTTCCAAGATAGAGATGTCCTGGTAGTTGAGTATGCTTCCCGACCCAGGGCGATCCCCCTGGGAGCGTCCGGAGACAGCTCCGATGGCGACGATAGAGGCTCCTCCTCTTCAGACACCCGCCCTCCAGACGGAGGGGATGCCCTACCTCCGGTCGCACATAGGAGCAGGTCCCCTCACGCAAGGCGGCGAGGCCTCCGCAACCGTACTAATCCCGGGTTCAGAGGTTGTGTTGCAGTAAGCCTCATTCCCCAAGGAGCCACCGCCTTTCTCTGCGATGAGAGCATCGTAGAAACTGTGCACCCCGGAACGGGAGCCACCGAAGGCAACTATATTGCTGTCGTTGTCCTCCTCACTGTCTGTGCCCTGCTGTGTCTGCTCGTGCTACTTACACAGCGCTGGCAAGGCGAGTTCTGCCAAGGACATGAGGGGCAGGGTCCCAGACAAGCCAAATTCCTGGGTGAGCCTACCTGTACCAGCGCGTCGGGACAAAGAGCCCTAAACGACCTCCGCGAGACCACCACCCGACTTGGATATAGGTGGCCCTTCTCACCTTTGAGCTGGGCTAATGATCTCGGGGTCTTACAGGATCATCCGGATGACAGGCTCTCTGAGGCCCAAGGAAGGGATGTGAGACTCTCTTTTATCATCCTTGTTCCTGACTATGTTCCGGAGCGTATTGCCTGCACCCTGTGCCTGCCTGCCACCCCGGCCGAAGCAGAGGAGGCCATTCAGGATGGGCGCAATAACTTCATGATAACGCGTCACCCATTCCTGCAAATGGTCAGACCGCAAACTGTCACTGGCCACGGTGTATATGTTGCTGGCGCCCGATGGAACCCACTAAGCAATATCGTGTGCATCAATACTGCGCAAATTGACGGCGGGATTTTTGCGATCGGTGCACCGATCTATGCCAATCGGCCGCACCTCTTGCGTCTCGCAGACTTGCTCGAGGTCTTTGGGATTTCAGTGTACGTTGGCGATGACGATGCCCCTCTTCAGGATGGGGTTGATGCGCACCTCTCGGAGGGCATGCAGATATACTTCTGCTTTGCGGAGGACCCAGCCCCGCCAGGGTGGTACTTGCCAGAGACCCTGCGCGTGCCAGAATTCTGGTCTGCCGGCGGACACTTCCCGATGCCACGCGTTGACAGGGCATACTGTCTGGCGGTTGAAAGCTATTGTAGGCTGCATGTCGAGGACTTCCATAGACCGATGCGATTTCGGCAACACATTTTGGAGAATTTAGGCCTCCCAAGCAACGCCTTCAATATAGTCCCCGCCTGCCCTTCCGTTGGTAATGCTGCCATCTTAGGGGTGACCTGCCGTAATGTCCTTGCCATTGATGAACGGTCCCCACCTGCTCCGGATAGGGGGGGCGTTCCGATAATCCTTGACTGCCGTCCAGTTTCCGGGGGTTTTAGAGTCGCTTTTGTTGACAGAGACGACACCGGACTCAGTGGAGTTGCTGAGGCCCTGCGACAAGAGGCACCCCGAGGATGGGACGTCTACCTTACTCAAGACGGTGACGTCGGCGCCCCATTTGACCCCAGGCCTGGCGAAGTCATTATTGCCACGTCCCCCACCAAGAGGAAGGCTCTGTAGATGATGCCCTAGGTGAGCTGGACGCCGTCCAGAGTCGAGGCCCTGGTTTCGGCGGCGGTACTGGATCAGCCCCCGTCTCTTCCGGAAGCACCGAAGGAGACCGCGATCCCGAAGACGATACCAGGGCCAGTGTCCGTGGAGAGGACAGTACCGAAGCAGATGCAAGGACAGCCGGGGTCCCTGCAACTTTTGCCTTGCTCACACCAGACATGCTGCCCGAAATCTGTGAGGCTCACCTTGCCTTTCCATCCACTATCCGGGTTGCCCTTGCAAGCGTGTCGGCCGCACGAGACGAGGCTAGATGGATTCACCATCCTTGCCTTGTCCCTGTGGAGCCCCAGCCCGACCAAGGTCTTGCCTATCTTATCGCCAGACCATCTTGGGTCGTGGACGGTGTCTTTATCGTCATTGATTCTAGGGATGTGAATCAAAAGCTCTTCTCGATTAACACTTCAAGGGTCTTGTCTCGGGAGGCTTTGCTGGTTCTAGCTGGGTTAGAGGAGAGAGCTTTTCTCCAGGTGTTTGTCAAGGACGTTCCCTGGCCATTGGCAGATAATCAGCCCTATCACCCGGAGGAAGGGGACCTGGTTGTGATCTGTCAGCCGGACCAAAGGCCACATGTTTTGGTGTCCCTGGCCGATAAGCTCCTGGACTCGGAAGAGTGGGCCGCACCTAGGACGGACCACCTTCGCTGTGGTGGAGACGCGAGGGTCTATAGCGACGACGGCAACGTCTTTCTTAGAGGCGAAGGAAATAATGCTGGGATCACCGAAGCCAGGATACGTGCCGCCCTCGCTGTCCATGATGCTGCCATGGCCTTTCAGAGCGCTTCCCCGGCCATATGGGACTACTCCTATAGAGGCCAATCTGCAGCTGTATTGTTGGTTGCTTCCCTCCGCGACAGGTGGCCTCCAGGGCACCTAGAGACAGGGCAGATATACTTCATCGACAATAGGGCACTGCTGTTAGGTATATGGTGGGGGGTTGCCAAAGATGGTCTTGTCGATACCTATGAGCTGCTAGGACGCCTCTGGCACAGGTGTCCTACAGGACATACACTGGCGGTCCAAGGTGGCATTTCGCTGCCACCGCCTTACGAGCATTTCCGGCAAGCCCGAGCCGGCGAGAGGTTCGTTGTAGAGGCCCTCAGGCAAGATGTGCCACCCCCCTGGGCTGCTCAACATCTTGGCGGCGAAGCTGTCTCTGCTGCCGAGCCTCCACATGCACCTGCGCACGGGACTAGTGCAGGACGAGGTGCTATGCCAGCTGCTCCTGCCAGGGGTGCCAGTCCTATGGACACTGGGGGAAACCGCAGCAGGCACACAGGGTATGCTGAAGGTGGATTAGATGCCCCCAGAGATAATCCTGGCGACGAATTTCCCAGCGGTAGTTTCGAGGGCCTCGGGATTACGGGTCGAGTAGCCAAGTGGCGTTGTGATCTCAATACAAGTTGCCTTGCAGATGGCGGTCACAATTCCACCCCTGTCCTCCCCGTTTCCCTGGAACACTCCAGCTGCCGCAAGAAGGCCTTGGGCCCCGGTTCCAGGATGCCACAAAGCCGCCCTAAGACGCATGGAACGTCCTGTGCCCGTCAGTGTCGCAGGCAACCCACCTCAAGCTGCGGCGGCTTCCATGCACTGTTTGCCATTGCTGTGTTAGCCACCCAGGTTTTACCGTCTGCTACGATGCAAGTTGACCGAACGGGCCCACTGATGAGCGCAATGCGCCGAGGTCCCGGCGACAATAAGCGCGCAAGCAGAACTCTGCCCACCCCATGTCGAAGCCGTACGGCAGTGCCGGAACCAGAGCCAGCCTCCGAAGTTTACTGTATCAGGAATGGACCTAAAGGTACCCCCCCTCCCGCTTTCCCTGGGATCCAACAGGAGACCGAGAGCACCCTAGGCTGCCGTGAGGAAGTTAGCTTCCGGGGAGAGAACTCTGAGTGTCTCTATACCCTCCTGGAAGAAAGCCTGCAGCGGGACGACTCGCAAGCCTTTTTCTTGGCAAGCACCTGGGTAGAGGTCCTTGTAGAACACTTTGAGGCCAGCCGCGTAATAGGTACCGACGGACCTGTCCAGCTCTCCCTTGCTTCACGCATAGCCGCCCCCACTGCAACGAAAAGATGCAGGCGGTCCTGTGCCCCCACACCACAGGCACTGCCCCATGAGTACCCCTTGCCTATCGAGCCAGGGGAGCCTTGGCCTGAGCATAATCAGGTGTGTGCCCAACCGGCTTTTGGTGGGATGACTTTGCCTTTCACCATTGCCGATTTCCAGCAAACGCTCCGTCATGCTCCCGCTGTACATGATTGGGCACAGACTGGGCACAATGGGGATGATAGTGTTCACCTTGACCTTGATGCTTTCAAGTCCGTGTGCATTGCGAGACGATGTCTCGGCAAGGAACGTAGGGTTCTGTGTTACACCGATGGCTCGTTTTACCCTGCAGCACCGGGAAAGGATGCCCAAGCAGGATGGGCCTGTGTCTTCATCGAGCCGAATCGCGGCAGCTTCGGCAGCTGTTATGGTGCCGTGCCTGCATGGCTGCTAGCAGATGGGGATACCCTTTCTGCCTACCAAGCAGAATGTACCGCCCTAGCCTTTGCAGGCCTGAGCGCGACCGCCTATTTTCGCGGAGTTCAGGTAACTTTCGTGTCAGACTGCCAAGCAGCGCTTGGGGTAGCCCAGGGTACATGCCGATATGAGGTAGGTGGCTGCCCACAAACCCTGCGCAATGTAATTGAACTGCGTAGACAGGTTGCCGCAAACCCGGCGGCCCATGACGAATTTGAGTATGTCCCGGGGCATAGTGGCGACTTTGCTAACGAGATAGCCGACAAGTTGTCCAAGAAAGGCGCCCGCAACGGGGATACCATCTTTGGGGATCAGTACCTACGACTGTGGCTTGCAAGGGGCGGGACATGGTTACCCTGGGTCGCCATTGTCCTTGCGGCGCAGGCCGGGCGTCCCGACTTGCCGCCCACCGATGGTACTGATCTAGGAGGGGACTGGTACCACGCCGGGCTCTCGCCGCATCAAATCATTGAGCCTTTTGTCCCGCTCGGTGCGGCGGAACCTAGGACCGCGGGGATAAGCCAGCCCGAGTCACTCCAGAAGCTGCATTTGAGGGTCCTAAGCTTCAACACGCTGTCACTCGGGACAATTGAAGATAGGGCCCCTGAAAGTGGCCAAGGGCTCTTCTGCGGCCCTGCTCGTGCTGCGCTTCTAGCAGCACAGCTACGGCAGGCAGGTGTAGCTGCAGCTGCTCTACAAGAAACCCGTGGCAGTGAAGGGTTCTCAAGAGTAGGGGGATACCTACGCTTTGCCTCGGGCAATGAGCGTGGCCAGTTTGGCACAGAATGGTGGTTCCTTGAAGGAGCGAGCCTGATTGAGGGCACTGATGCCAACGCAGGGCTGCGATTTGAGGCCAACCTTTGTGCCGTTGTTGTTGCTGACGTACGCAGGCTCTTCATACGCGTAGGGCGGCCAGGGCTCTACATACTGTTCATTGCGCTACACGCGCCACATCGCGCAACGGAGGCCCACAGGTTGGAAGAGTGGTGGCAGCAAACTACCCAGTTAGCATACAAGCACCGCAGGCAAGACCACGTGATTGTAGCCGGTGACTGCAACTGTGCCATAGGTAGTTTCGAGTCTAGACATGTAGGAAACTTCGATGCAGAAACTGAAGATGACGCTGGGGCTTTGTTCCACAGGTTTCTGCATGCAGTTGAGTGCTGGGTTCCTTCTTCTTTCGAGCACCACCACTCCGGGCCTTCTGCCACGTATGTGCAAAAGCGCAACGGCCATGAGTGCCGCGTCGATTACATTGGGATACCCTGCAGGTGGAAGCATGCCCATACCCTGTCGTGGATTCTCCCAGAGGTTAATGCCGGTCATGCCACGGTCGACCATGTAGCTGTCACCGTTTTATGTCAGGCCAGCATGGCCTTCCCAAAGCAGGGCCTAGGCGTCCGTGATAGGCGTTTCAAAGCATCTTGCATCACCGACCCGCAAAACTTTGAGGCAATGCGCACAGCCCTCAGGAATGCCCCAGTGGTCCCGTGGGGTGTCTCAGCGCACGCCCACGCAGCCATAGTCACGGCGCATGTGCAGAAAAGCCTCACACAAATTCAGTCTCGCCCTTGTAGCCGCCCTTGGCATGTATATCTCACCCCAGAAACGTGGACGATGCAACAGCAGGTTTCTAAACTGCGCCGCGATTTTCACAGGCTGCGCAGACAAGTTGAGATGAGGCTACTCTCGGTGTGCCTCCGATGCTGGCCTTCGCACGGACCAACTTTTCACAATGTTGTCTCACAGTCTGCGTGGTTTTGCCGTGCCTCCCTTGCTGACGCGTGGTATAGGCAGAGCATGGACACACAATGCAGACGCCTGCGTCGTGCATGTCGGGAGGACCGAGCGGCCTACATCAGTAGGCTTGCTGATAAACTGGCTTCTTGCCCCCATGCCGAGGTCTTCCAGCAGGTCCACCGGATACTTAATCACCAGCGGAAAAAGCCTTATCAGGCGGACCCACTCCCTGTAATCCGGCAGGCTGACGGACAGGTATGTGAAGATGCGGAAGCGGCACGTGGCAGGTGGCGCCAACATTTCGGAGGCCTCGAGGCAGGACGCGAAGGTTCGGTGCATGATATAGCCACCACTGCTCTGGGCGAGCCGCCCGCGCATTGGCCTAGTCCCTGTAATCTCGATGACATACCTGCTCAGACGCTGCTCCACCGCGTTCTGGCTGCTGGTAAGAGCCACAAAGCTGCAGGGCCCGACGGTATCCCAGCCGAGCTGGGGAAGTGCTTCCCTTCAGAGGTTGCTGACATACTTTACCCCCTCCTACTCAAGTATGTTTTTCGAGGAGCTGAAGCAGTGGGGCATAAGGCGGGGGTTGCCGTGTTCTTTTGGAAAGGTCGCGGCTCTCAACAGGAGTGCAGCTCATACCGAGCGATATTATTGCTCAACGCATGGGCAAAAGCGCTGCACCAAGCCCTACGCCCACGGGCTCTTGAGTTGTACCACTCCTCTGCCCCACCGCTCCAACTGGGGAGCCGGCCGGGAGGTAACGTAGTGTTCGGGTCGCATATAGTCCGCTCCTTCCAAAGATGGGCCTCCATCAATAAGCTTAGTAGCTTCGTGCTCTTTGCAGATATCACTGCGGCGTATTACTCCACCGTCCGGGAGCTGATTGCAGCTGGCCCCGGATGTCGCGGAGGAGAGCCCACTGAACATGCCCTCGCCAACCTAGATTTATCGTCTGATGAACTGGCTAGGTTGAGGGAGCATACCGCTGCCCAGACGGCTTTTCAGAGGGCCGGATCAGATGCGTGGACAGAAGCTGTATCGTACAGTATCACCCGCGGAACTTTCTTCCTCATCCGTGGCGACCATGTCGCGGTCGCTACCGATAGAGGAACACGTCCGGGCTCTAGCTGGGCAGACATTTTGTTTGCCACCGTCATGCAAAGGGTGCTCGACAGGCGTAACCAATTGCGCAATGAGCTGCACCACCATACCACGGCTCCGCGCCTCCCGTGGGATGGATGCCGCACGCTTGCACCCTGCCCAGAGGGTGAGCGTCGCATCGAGGTAGAGGACGTAGTCTGGGCCGATGACTTAGCCTCTATGAGGCTTTGCGAACACCCTACTTCGGCCGATGCAGACATTGCTCTGGAGACAGGGTGTCTAGTCGACGCCTTTAAAGAGCATGGGTTTTCCCTGACTTTCGGGGAACGAAAGACAGCGATCTTGGCTACACCGGCCGGGCCTGGTTCGCGCCGGCTTAAGCAGCGCCTTTTTGGGGGGCGTAAAGAGGCAGGTAAGCTCCGTGTTCTTCTAGAGGGATCCGGAGCTGCCCTTGTTCCGCTTGTAGCCACCTACCGGCATTTAGGCTCAATGCAGTCGCCCCGAGGGGGGCTGAAGGCAGAAATAGCCTATCGTGCGGGGCAGGCGTATGCGGCCTTCGCGGAAGGGCGGCGTAAAGTGTATCGGTGCAAAAAGATCTCCATCGCCCGCAAGGCATTTATCTTGCAAGCATCGGTGCTGCCCAAGCTCTTATATGGCAGTGGTTCGTGGCCCCCACTCTCGGCCGGAGAGTACAAATCATTTGCAGGGTGTTTGTGGCGCCTTTACCGACCGCTACTCGGCCTTGGTAGGGAGGCAGAGCAAGATGTGTCTTTCCATATGTGCCTTGCCCTTGTGGGCCTGCCCAGCCCTGCCAATACCTTACGCCGACACCGACTGCTCTACCTTGCGCAAGCCTTGAGATGCGCACCAGATGCGTTGTGGGCACTGATTAGGGCGGACCGGCCGTATGCTGATGTGCTTAGTGAGGCCCTGCGATGGTTATACTCTCATGTTGGGGAACAAGCCGGGCTACCAGAGCCATCACAGGATTGGAATGCATGGGCAGATGTCATGAAGCAGTGCCCGGGACGTTTCAAAGGTCTTGTCAAACGGGCGACTGCCCTGGAGCAGGCGCGTCATACCGCGGTTGCTGCCTTGGACGGCTTGCACCGCGGTCTTTCAACTGCTGCGCCTGTAGCGGGTAGCGCTCGCCTGGACCAGTGCACCGACGCCTGCCTACCATGCAAACGGGCATTCCAGTCCAGGGTCAGCTGGTCTGGCCATGCTGCCAGAATGCACGGATACCGGTCGCAGGCCTTTCTTATTGGCCAGGGTAGGTTGTGCACCGGCTGCGGGCGCATATATGCGTCGGAGGGGCGTCTCAAAAGACATCTAATATCTGCGCACGAATGCCGTCGACGTTGGGGGGCCTTTAAACCCTGCGGAGACGTCCCTGAGTGCGGCCATGCACAAGCCCCCCCGGCAAGCTTCCCCGGGTCGTTTAGTAATGAGCATCTTCAGTGCCCCAGTGAGGACTTCTGCACCCCTTTGCTGGAGGCATTGTTGGCACTTCACGACCCTGATGTAGACTTATGGGAGTGCGTTGCCGATCATATCGCACCCCTGGCCACTATCCGGCGCACGGTAGATGAGTGGCCAAGGCAGGAGTCCGCGCAAACATGGGCTAGGAGCAGCGCCGATGATTTGCTCTTGCTCCTAGATCCGACCGTGTTTTGTGACAACATCCAACCACTACCGCCGAAGCGAGAGTGCCCTGCTGACACTCTGCCAGCCTGGCCTCAAGTGTCACCCCGAGCTTTTGTGTCGTCTGGGGAGCCTGCATATTTTCAGATACCCCAGCCTCCCTCGTCTCAGCTCTCTCTCAGCCAACCCGGGGGTATCACCGCCTCTGGCGCCTCCTCTTTCGCCTGTTGGATTGAGGGGGCTTGTCGAGTGATTGCGGAGGCAATCGCGATCTCCTCACAGCGGCCCTTTGTCATTACCTGCCCCGACATTCGGAACGTGCTGGGGATCGCAACTACATGGCTTGAGTGCAGCGGGTTCATTGTGCAGACTTCCCGCATTTACTCGCCATGAGTGTTTCACCTTTTCCGAATTCAGTTGCTAGGTGTGCGTCCGATATGGACTCCAACGCTGCGAATGAAAAATATACATGTATTGGCATTGTATCTGATTTCCGTACTTCGCTGCAAAGAGCCCCTGGCTACTTCCGAGGATGACCAGTGGCAGCGCCTCCATACAAGCAACAACATCCGATTGGCGCCGGCTAACAAGGACTGCTGCGGTTCTATAGAGGGGCTCTTGTGAAAGCCTTTTGCATGGGCTCTTTGACGCTGATAGTGAAGAGGCACAAGGAAGTCATTTGGTGAGTGAAAGACCGAAGTTCCTTCTCTCATACACATTCATGCTCTACCGTCCATGTGAATCCTAAGGTCCTAAAGTACAGGGCTTCTCTGAAGACCGTCGCCATCCAGTAGAGGACTACTTACTGTGTGATTCCTCCTCAGATGTCAGGTCTAACGTTGTGCAAACGGTTAGTTCCACCTTTCGGGCCCAAGGCTGCCGGAATCCATCCTTCTCGCATGACTTCTTTCTTGCGCTGTAGTTGTTTGACATAGTTTTGTGCGATGCACACTACTTAAATTCCAAGAAAGTCGCCTCACCCAAAGCACCAAGAGTCAACAGCACAGGCGGAGCTGTCACAGCGGTTGGCCCAGAGTAGCGAATGGGCCGCGTGCTCAGCGCCTTGCGGAGTGTTTCTGCCACCCTAAACCCTACAAAACCAGAGCCTTATTCTCCTCATCCGCACGAGCTCTGCACCTTGAACCCTCATCAGGGGATGGCCCCCAAGCCCTTACAGCTATCCCGAAGCCCTCAAAGCTTTTGCCCAAGCCCCGAAAACCTCCATCCTGTACCTGCCACCACCGAACGAGCGACTTGAACGGCTGAGGCTAAACGGATCCTGCTGCTCTTTGAAATCAACCCGGTCTGCAGCATGTGTCTGCAGGCCTTTCAGATCCACGGCGGGAGTTACCTGTAGAATAGGTGCACGGGGATCATGACGGAGCAAGAGGGATATTTGTAGACACTTGCTGGCTGTTTTTTCACATCGTGGTGCTCGGTACTGCTGCCTGTACTACTTGTGGCGGTAGTGGTAGTGGCCGTGCCTGCGGCGTGTGTCATGGTGACCATCATCACCGAGGCATGGTGGTGGTAGTAGTATTCGTCGTCGTCGTTTTTGTTGTAGTTGTTGTTGGTGTTGTTTTGGTTGCAGCGGTGGTAGCAGTAGTCCTGGTGGTAGGCATCGTCGCCTTCATAGTCGTCGTAGTTGTCCCATCAGTAAAGCTTGAGGCAGAATCATGGGACCCGAGATTGGCCGAATGCCTTTCAAACCCTCCAGCCGAAAATGTCAACCTATGCAGGAGTCTCTAGAATTCGTGGCGTTTGCTGTTCCTTGCCTTGTATACTCCCCCCACAGCCTTTTCCTAAGGCTAAGCAATTTCAGCCAATCTAGGTAATCCCTACCCTTTTGCCGATCATCCTTGATCACATAGCAAACTTGCTACCTACTAAAGTCTAAACCCTGAAACGGAAGATTCATGGCCACGCTCGAGATGGTAGTGGTGTTGAATTTCAAACCTTCTTGAGCTCAGGAGCCTTTTTCAAGGCCCCAAGGCACTGACACATCTCAAACCCGAAACGTGAATTGTAAAACACCACAAAGACGCCTTTCGTGGAGACGTCATGTGGAGGCAATGGGAGTTCTTGACGACGGCCTGCCAAGCCTTCTCAATTGGGTTCTTGTCACAGCACTTGCTTCCTCACAAAGAGGTAGACGCATGCATGTAACGTTTTAACAGGGTTTGCATTTAGCAGGTATGCTTGCCGGTTCTCATAGAGGATTGATGAGCTTAATTCCGGCTATTACAATGATTATATTATATTATATTATATTATATTATATTATATTATATTATATTATATTATATTGTATGTTATTATGTATGTATGTATGTATGTATGTATGTATGTATGTATGTATGTATGTATATATATGTATATATGTATGTATGTATGTATGTATGTATGTATGTATGTATGTATATATATATACATATAGAAAGTAAACCCTAAACCTCATAAAGCAAAGAACACCGGAGGTCGGGAAGCCGCAAGATGGACGGACGGACATGCCCGGCCATATCAGGTTGGAAGCTGAGAGGATCCCTGTCCCAGAGAACCCAAGAACCCCCCTTTTGCTAGGGGTATGGTTATGGAACATGATTTTTGAGCCATAATATTAGGACCCCTTCTAGTTTTAAGGTATATTCTTTACTTGCGTGGGTAGTGGCCCGCTCTCTGGATTTCACGATAGACTGTCGGGCCACAGACAATTCTACAACTAGAATACGGTTCCTGTACAGTTTAAAGGTTCTACAAGGCTTTATAGCGTTTCAATATAGGGGCTTGGAGAACAAGAACGGGGCTTTGAAGGCTATATGATCCTCGTACTGTATATCATTAGTGACATCTCGGAATAAGTTGTTTCGAAAGGATCGCACTCCCTTCAAACAACCTTTCGAACAGCACCATCATAGGGCTTCGAATTGAGGGTTGAGATTACGAATCAGCTGGCCTTCTCAGATACCAGACATCGTTCCGAGACTTGTCGAAGCCTTTGGGCTGCTATGTTTCCATGCTCCCAGGTCCTTGCCACTTGATTTGCTGCCAGTCTGCGTACACTCGAACCGCAAGTGGGACCGACCTCGCCTAGGCAAGAATCCGCGTAGTGTTCAAGCGCGATATGAGTTGCTGTCCTAAGTCTTTCCACTTGAGCCGCCGTCATCCAGAGCTTCTGAGTTGTAAACGTTCAATAACTAATTTAATCTTGATTTGAGCGTTTAGTGCGATACAGGTTGACCGATGTTTACAAGTTTACAATACATTCTGTTCCGAACCTTGAGACCAAATCCCTAGGCCCAGCACAGCCCACAGACCTGCACATCCTGAGCCTTGAACCATGCAGCTTTCACGGTGTCGAACGAATCTGTGCACTTCCTCGTAGGTGGCCCTGCTTGGCTGGCCTGTAGGGTGGTTCGGTTCTGCAAAGACCAGGCACATGGCACTGCCGGCTTGTAAGCTTTACGGGTCGGATGGTTCGCCCTACAGCTGCAAAGTGAGAGCAGCCCTGCGCTTCCTTCGCATCGCCTACGAGTGGATACCTGTCTTCCAAGCGGCGGTAGCGCACTCGGGCGAGCTATTTTCCAAGCATTTCCCGGACATCAAGACCAAAGTGATCCCAGTGTTGGTGAGGCCGGACGGAACGCACCTTGGAGTCTTCTAGGAAGCTTTATAAAGGTTCCAGGGGTCAACTGTGTTTCTGTCCATGTAAAGACCTGCTGCTGAATGCCAGGTATGCCAACGACTCTACACCACTCCTGCTTGAACTCCAAGCTCAGCACGGCAGCACCCGGCGGAGCCTCTTCCCTACTTCCGCTGGGGCACGCTTCCTCTGCGCACTCCTAGAAGACTTCGCCGATGAGTGGCTGACAAAGGTCATGTTCGAGGGAAGATTCCACACGCCCGAGGACGCGAAATTTGGCGCGGCCTGGCAAGTGCTCCAGAACCCTCTCCAATCCAAAAACACTGACGAAGCTTTGCAAGCAATTGACATGTTTGCCGCCCGGCAGCGCGAGCGGCGGGCATTGGTCGGGTGCTCCGACTGGACTTGCATCTCGTTTAGCCAACGTTTGAGCTGTTTAAGCTTTGACTTGCCTAGACTTAGCTAGTTTTGCGAAAGGACGTCTACAAGTGTGGATTCCAGATCGGAGGGAAACTAAATTCTTCACACCTGAGCCGTGAAGCAAACCCCGAACCTGGGCTTTTTTGCAATGTGCAATGATTGAGAATGGATAGCCTCGTAGAGCAGGTTGAAGATGCCTTGAACCACAAAGGGTATCGATCCTTCGGACCAACTTTGTACGTAACCCTTCGTACTTCTTGATAAACACCATCAACCTGTCTCAGCAGCTAGGAATTCTGCCAGTCCGACCTCTAAGAATGCCCCAAGCTCGGCACGGCGACGCCGATGTATTCCGAGTAGAGTTCAGCGCAGTGCACTCGCGAATGCTGTTCTTCTTCAGTTTGTGCCATAACATGCGTGAGTTGCGTTGCTCAAGAATGAGGAAGACTTCTGTGCTGTCCCCTTTCAACGATAAGTCCTTCTCAGCTGTCGTCGGCAAATCCCCTATGCTTTAAAATCACCCTTGAAGCCCCGAAGCCACTAGAAACCTTCTTAAGCCCTAAAGAACCTTAGAAGCCTTAAAGATTTTCCCGTGAAACATGGAAAAAAAGACACCGGAAGGTAAACCTTAATAAGCCTTAAAGCCCTATAATGGACAACCCTGTAACACAAAAAGAGACACCGGAAGGTATGGAGAAGACTTTGCGAGGCGTCTGCAGAGCCCTCGAGGCCAACCTGCGACGAGGCCCGAGGTTTCCCCAAGACTCAGAAGCTTTTCAAGTGAGGGGTTTTAGGGTTTAGGGTTCTAGGGTTTCAGGGTTTAGGCAGGGACTTTTTAAGCGATGGTTTAGGGTTTTAGGGTGTAGGGTTTAGGCAGAGACTTTTCAAGTGAGGGGTTAGGGTTGAGGAGCATCTAGAATGAGGATTACTGCTGCTACTATCAGTAACATCAAGAAGAGTAAAAAAGATATTAGCAGTAGTACTAAGAATCTCAATATCAAAAATACCTGTAAGACCACCAATATCAATAAATGCGTTGGTGTATGTGTGTTTTGCTTAGTACAGCTTTGTAGGGTTAGTAGTGGGTTTTAAAAGGTCCTGGGAACATGTCGTAATTAATGATATGGACCTCCTACGATTTCAGATATATTTCGGGCACTTCCGCATGTTTTGCTTGGTGCTGGTACCTAGTGGCGCAGGCGGCTTTTCAGCGTTTTTTCAGCCGCAGTTCGGTTTTGTGATACCCTAGAACCCTAGCGCCCTAAGAAACCCTAGACCCTAAAGCAGCAACCCCTCAGGCATGGCCTTCATCTTCGGGAGTCGTCCCACTGCGGCCGACTTCGCCATCTACGGCCAGCTGCGCCAGCTGGCGACAGACCCGCTCCCTTCGAGGATTCTCGGAGTTGTGCGTTTTGGGCTTTGAGAGCTTTGGGGTTCAGGGTTTAGGGTTTAGGGGTTTAGGGGGTTTACGGTTTTTTTACGGTTTAGGGGTTCAGGGTTTAGGGTTTAGGGCTTCACGGATTAGGGCCGCATGGAGTTCTGTGCGTTTCTTGGAATCCCACATATTCAAGGGTTTGGGGGTCCACTATACCATAATCATAGTAAGGAGCTCCCAAAGTAGTATAGGTAATTATTTAGGCCCTTAAAGTATTCAAGCTCACGACGGCTTACCGGGGCTTAACCCGCCAACAAGCTCCAAACGAATCAAAATCCCGAAAGCCCCATGCATCCACTGCAGAATTCACTATGTAGCTTGACCCACATCAACGTCATCAAGCACAAGGTGACACCATGCGGAGGCCCCAGACATAGCATCACAAACTCAACCCATCGTGCAAAATCAAAGCCCAGTGCCCTAGAGAGCTAAACCCCCAAAACCCTGAACTGCAACACTGAGACGACTGGGCCATATACCCCGACTACCGTAAGTTGAACTATGTTGCCAGGAGGTTCAGCAGAACCCTGCCGCGTGCAAACTTCGGAGCTTTCTCAGGGCGACTAGCAAGTAATATAGGGGCCTAGAAAAAATACCAATACTACTATTTTGGGGGTTCCTGATCATAGTTATGATTTATGATCGTATGATGTATCCCAACAACTTACGTCCGCAATCAAGACCCGAGTAGTGAAATGGAGTGACCACAGGGCTAGTACAGCAGTACCTCGAACCCAAAGCCTTTACATAGCAACCCAAAACCCTAAATTCCTGAATGCTGAAGCCCTGAACCCTACAACCCAAAAATCCGAAACCCGCAGCCTCGAATTCTCAAAGCAGCCCCTGAGGATTGTGATGGAGTACCCCAGTGTATGGGCCTGGGTTTTCCGAGTGGAAGACCTTTCTGGGTATCCGGATGAAACAGAGCCGAGCCCGGGCACTCCCACTGCTCATCCAGGCATGGACACGAATGCCCTCCTTAACCTTCAAATGCTCACTTAGTTTAAGGATAGACATATGTGTGCACATTATATATATATATATATACACATCTAGACATGTGCTTTCTAGGGTTGTGTGTGGATCCTTGTCGTGTCAGGGGTCATGGAATTTAGTTCCGGCCTTTGGAGTTTCTGCATGGTTTCTAGTGGGAGACACGCAGATCGCATGTTTTCAGCAGCATTGTAAGTACCTAAATGGGGTTGCTGTACTTACAGCCTTACACTTTACGGTATGGAAAGTCCCCTAGCTGGTCCCTCGAGTGGCTGCGAGAAGAGGCGCAAAAACGAAGAAGCGAAAAGAAAGGCAAACAGGCAAATGTAGCTAGAGCTTCACAGGCATGCTGGACTTATTGAAGCTTTGCGGCTTGTGCTACATACCTCTACTCCTCGACAACGAGAAGCTTGGCTTGCTTCCCTAGCCTGTGGATTTGTGCAAGCAAGGCGAATGCTCGCAGCGTGGTGACAAGTTTTCTCAGAGCAGCCAAGGAGGGCAATCAGTGAGGGACGCCGCGAGATCCGCGTCCATATCTTCGAAGGTGCGCATCTGCATTGCCAGCCAACCTTCAAGTACCAGCTCAAGTGTCTCCAGACCCTTCGGAAGCAGCCACTCGAACTTGACTCAGAGATGTGCTCGATACCTCATCGACACCTGCGTGCAAGCCGTTTGCAGGTTTCCAGGGGAGGGGGGGGGGTTGCCCTCAAGCTTGAAGCATGCTTACCGCCTGTCTTCGGTACGTGGAGCTGATGGTTCGCACATCAGAAGGCTAGTTCGGTTTGCAGTGAAGGATACCCCACCCTTCTGCATCTTCCTTGAGGGATAAGATCAGCCCTTTGCATTAGGCAAAGTTCAATTCTCGTCGGTTCCACTCTGAGGTATGGCGAGCTACCTTGGGCTGAGAAGGCAGAAGTAGACGCAACGCTGTTCAATGCCGGTAGCTTGGCTGCGTGGAGCTGAGGGCCTCGTCGAATCATTGAATAAGCTTCCCTTTTCGAGAATTCAAGGTGCATATGCAACCCCTCACGAATACCCAAATCCGCACATAATTAGGAAGAAGCGACGGACCATTCAAGGGAGTCCGATGGCAGCGCGCGAGTTGCTTCTCTGGATGTTTGTCGCCTCAAATGCCCACTTCATGTGCTAGTCCAGTACTTCATCTGCACAACCAAGTTCTTGTTGTGGAACTGAATATCGAGGGTCCTGACAGCGGAATATATATCCAAAATAGTTGGGTTTCCTTATTGTGGGTATAAACGAAGAAGTTGGCAAGAGTTCCGCATTTGCAGGAAAAACCTTATTGAATTATGGTAGAGTCCGACTACACGACCCTATTCTACATAAGTTTCTTGAGCGCCTACAGACCTCGACCCCGAGCTTCCCCCGAGAGAGGGCTTGGGCTTGGGCTTGGTTGGCGCAGCCGCTGGGAGGATGTGGGCTTTTGCGGTGGAAAAAGCTTCAGGCTTTCGAGGTGTCGGGTTTAGGGTTTGTGAGGGTTGACGGTTCTTTTTTTGTGGGGGTTAAGGTTTTTGGTTTAGGGTTTGTGAGCTTGGGGTTGCTTTCACGGAGCTCTGGACATCAAGCTCCAATCCAAGCTCGACTTCTGAATGCTATCGCTGTGCCGAGTCTCACTCGCTGGCCCTACTTGCAGTAAGTTGTCCAAAAAACGGGACAGTCTGAACCAGAATGAACCATCAACCCTAGCCCTGAACTCTTAGCTTTAAGCCTTCTCCGCCGAAACCTGGCAATTCCCAGCCTTTGACACCCGAAGTTCCCAATCACCAAGCCGGTCTCATCGCAGATTGTCCGAGGCATCCAGCCGGAGACCTTTCAGCACGGAGCTCCAAAGAGCAAGCTTTGACTGCAATAGAGGGGCTAGGGGCTTAAATAGTTACCCATACTATTTTGGGGATTCCTTGTTATAACTATATTATAATGGACCTTTGACTGTACTGGCATCAGTTGTCGTCGTCGCAGCAGCAGAAAGAGTTTGTAGTGTAGGAGTTTCCTAGCAATGCTCCTAAACCCTGAAGCAAAAAAGCTGAAGCCCAAACCCCTAAAACCCCTCCTAAACCCCTATAGAACCCTTATAGATCCGCTATAGAACCCTTGTAGAACCCTTATAGATCCCCTTCAGGGAGCTCTAAGCTCTTGTTGTGTTTCTCACCAATCTTGGCGGATTGCCTGTGACATTTCTGCGAGCTTGAAAGATTGCAGGCGTCTGCTCAGGGTTGAGGCCACTACGGTTACCACAAGTGTAAGGGTCTAGGGTTCCCTTAAATGGATCGATAAGGGTTCCCTAGGGGATCTCTAAGGGTTTAGGGGTTCAGGGTTTGGGTTTCGGGCTTTAGAGGAAAGGGGCTCTCGGCTAGGCATTGAGGTCCTCCAGCAAGTCTGGTAGCCCAGGAGGGAGACAACAGGGCTTCCAAGTTTCCAGCGGGCCTAGGATTCCGACCCTATGCCCTGAAATAAAGATTGAAGAACCATACTCGGAACAGCCGTATTTTGATAATCAAAATCGAGGTCGTTTAGTGTGTGTAGATAAGGTAGAACAGAACACGCCCGAATTGCGAAGCTGACCCCGGATCAGCTCTAGGTTGCAACTCCACCTCCTTGGCTCAACTCGATGGGGAGTATTCTTCTAGTATACCTATACAGGAACTCTGAGGGGAGATTGTAAACAGGCAAACTATTCCCGGCACAGATGAGAGGAATTGCACGGACNNCCCCCCAAAAAAAAAAAAAAAGGGGGTCCTGGAAGATCCCACCTGGCCCAAGGCCCTCGTTATCGATACATTACAGTCTGCTATAACTTCTAGTAAATTACCATGATCTGTTATAGCATGTTATCATGCGTTACTATGGTTTGTTTTCCGATAACAGAAATGGTGCATTTATATCGAAGCTCAACCGCAAGAGCCCCTCAGAGGCGTAGGAAGGCACTCAACTGGGAACTCCAGAAGCCTACAACCCTGAGACCCGAAGACATCGACCTGGAACACCGGCCTTGCATCCATGTTCCTATCCAGAGGTTCTATGCTCGGTTTTCGGTTTTCGGGCTGTAAGACAGCAGGCAGACTATGTAGTAGCAGATTTCCCGTGATGCCTTCAGAATTACTGCTGTGCTATAAACCAGAGCCTTACTCTTACTGCTGAGGCCCATTTGTGTTTGTGGTTGAAGTCTCTCGTGTATGGGTTCAGGACTGCCGGGTTCTAGAGCTAAGAGTCTTTCCTGTTCGAGGGCACAGTGTTCGGACGTAAATTTCGCGGCACTCATCCCCGAAACAGTGTATCAGACTACCGAGCACCAGCTGGAAAGAAAAGCTCCTGGACGGTCTACTAAACAATTCAGTCACACTCGCTCGGAGTTGCTCTAGCCGCGAATCACTTTGCTTAGCTTCCCCTGCTATCAGCCGCAATTAGAGTGTAAGGTCCACCGGTGGGCAGCACTTCAATGTGATATGGAAAAGGCGGCATGCTTAGCTTCGAGGGCCGGTAGATCGTTGCCGAGGGGTGTTCGCTTGGCACGACCGCGGGTGAGTCCTCTTAGCTGAGGTGCACTCGAAACGCTGAAACCCCAAACCTGCAATCACAAGCCTTGCAGCGAAGCACTTACCAGCGTCAATTGTGTTCTCCCCCCTCAAACCCTGAGATCCTAAACTCCATAGTCTCCAATATCCCTACGTATTTAAGCTTACAAAGCCTTCAATCCCAGCTCTAGACACCCCAGAACATAAGTGGGGTGAGAGGTCCCCTATTCTAGTAGCTACCCTACTTCTAACCCCCACTTATCACCCAGGAACCACACCTTAGAGCCTCAGATCCCTAGGAAAAAAACCCTAAACCCTAAACCCAAAACAAGTAGCCTGGAGCCCTAGAAAGCCCTAGGAAGGACTGAGGCTGAAGCCCCAGAGCCTGGCCACCTGGAGCCTCGAAGCCTCAGCCGGCCTGCTGTGATCCTTTCGGCTGTGCTTTTTTTTGACTAGGGTTTAGGGTCTAGGGTTTAGGGTTTAGTTTAGGGATGATCGATGCGTTTTTTGCAGGAGTTCTGTGTAACAAACAACATCGGAAAAATCCCTTAAGTGAGGCCCCTTCTCATCAAGGACTCCTGCTATGCTTTTTGGTATCTTTCTTTGTTGGAATCAGAGTCTTTGGGACGATGCGATCCGTTACAATGGCGCATGTGTTGGCCTTCGCAGGGACCGTCGGAAGGGATCAGGGTTTGGGGGGCGCTGCGTGGCGCAGGGAGCTTTGGGTAGGTCATCGTCTAAAACGCCCCTGATCCGACGTGATCCCATGCCCACTACGGAGGCTCTCGGTTCCAGACTCCCACGCCCGACACGCATAACTGTGAGGGAATCCTGAACCCTCTCGTTTTGAAAGGTTTCTGGCTTCCAATCAGCTTTCTGCAGACCCGAAGCCTTAAACATAAAACCCCCTGAACCCTAAGCACCTTAAACCCTAAACCCTAAACCCTAAGAGCCTTAAACCCCGAAATCCAAAGCCAGGCTCGAGGAGCTGCAGAATCAGGGCAAGCAGGACATCGCGCAGGACTTCTGGCAGTCCTGGGAGGCCCGGCTCCCCTCGAAAAAACGCCCCATTTTTGTTCCTAGCAGAATGGGGGCCTCAATCATTACCTTTGTATTTTTTTTTTTTTTTTTTT